CCATCTGAGGGCTCTGATGGATGAATGGCGGTGCTTTCTGAGTTCAACAGACAGTTTCTACGTCCTTTGATCCCATCTTCAGGTCAATCTGCCGTCTGTTCAACCTTTGACCCCTGACTGAGAGTTTATCATCGCAGTAAAGCTATATGACACAGCAGTTTTAGCTTTTAAACCACATCAATATGTTTCTTTAGGGTGCCATAAGTGTTGTTGGCTGTAAGTTGATGGTGAAGGCTCCCCTGGTTTAACCTATCGGCCAAAGTTTAACGTGCAAACATTTTTACAAAGATTATGAATGCCTAGACTTGAAACTTATGTATATATATTTTTTTATTACGAAAAACCTAAAATTGTTAGAGACTTTAAAGACAATAACTACAAGTGTAACTCTGTCCTGCCAGTAGATGGCGCTCTCACAGGCTCTCGTTCATACCTTGTACCGTTTACCATCCGGTTCCTGGAACTAATGTCTCTGAGCTGTTGATTCGCACAGAATGGATCAGTTTAAAAGTCTAGATTTTCCAAAAATTTAATTTTCATAAACAATAATCTGATTAAGCTATAATATCGATTAATAGCTCAGCCTTAGATCAAACTGATTCACAGTGCACAGAATGCATAAATGCATCCATTCTTTATATGATGTAATTTTGCTATTTATTTATTTATTTATTTTTAATTTTTTTTTACAGTGTCCTGTCTGGCAATGTGGCAATAAGAATAATTGTCTTGATGCCAAAAAGAGCCCAAACAGATTTTACTTTCACAAGTGTAGCAGTACGGCTATTGCCATAATGTTCCACTTGTTTCATGCATATAAATTGCTTTATTATAATTATGCAGGGAGTTTTACAGTTTATATGGACACTGCAATGTAAATAGAGAAAAACAGAAGAAGTAAAGGAAAAAAGAAAAAAAAATAGAAAAGATGATAGAAAGAAGATAATGACAAGTTTTGCTATTTAGAAATGCTCTAGAGATTAAAGGACATTCAGGACCATAATTACAGGATTTATTGCCAACCTGGAGTAATATCTGGTTGTAAATGCACAAGTGGGGTGACGGTACGGATAGTGCTTCCTGAGGAGAGCGGCTAATGCTAATAATTGCTTAGCATTAGCAAACATTTAACTTACCTATCCAGAAGAAAAGTAGTTGGAGGTGAAGATTCCTTTCATTTCAATGTAGGCATAGTAACCAGAAATGAATATTTATTTATTTTGGATACTTTTTTTCTTTTTTCATTAAAGGTGATATTTTGATTCTGCACAGTTATAAAAGTTATTTTCTTTTTTAATTGTTTTGATAGGAAATTCATAGCTACAATCTACAAATATAAAAGTCAAATTCTAAATTAGTTCCAGGAACCAAACGCTTATGTTTCTGTACCAGCCTTCTCAGCATATCAACAAATCATTTTTTTATATTTTTCCCAGTGCGGGAGCATTGTAACCAACATTTTATTTGTATTCGATAACAAATTATTTAAAAAATGATTTACACAAAATATTTTTTTTTCAATAAAATTTAAACTTTTTTCTGTGTCACAGTAGACCTTCCGTGTGAATTTTGAAAATTTATTGTTTTAATTAAATTTTCTGAACCACTTTTCGGTGGATCTATATGTTTATATTAATAATCGTGATGATAAAGTTGTAGCAATGACCCTTTCAAGATTCTTTAACTTTATTTTCTTTTTTTTTTTTTTTTAAAGAACTCACAAATAAAACGAACATTATCATTGAATATAAAAAGCAGCGGGTTTATTGTTTCTGCTTCCTGCATCTCGCTGTTTTAATTACCGGTAATAAATGCATTTGGTCAGGCTTTACTCATCGCTCTTTGTTCTGATTTAATGTCACGCTTTCTGTCCTCCTTCCAGAACATTCAGAAGATGCTCGGACTCGCTCCCTCCAGAGCTGCCACCAAACAGGCGGGGGGCTTCCTGGGACCTCCTCCCCAGGCGGCAAAGTTTTCCTAATCAGCCGGGGACGATGGCGCCCTCCACAGAGCATAGATGGAACCGTTTCAGCTGGAACTAATGTCTTACATGTTGCAGCTACCATGTTGTTTGGTTTGTTTGTTGTCATATTTAACTTAAAGGTGAGGAGGGATAAAAAGAGTTAGTTCCTTAAATTCTGTTCACACAGTTTAGCTCGTATGGATTTTAATGGTATTTTGGCACAATAAGGTCTGAAGCCCTTTCAGTATTATTGGATGTCATCATCTCTGTTTTGAGTAACTAACATATTAATAAAATTTTTATGATTATATCTCAGTACCATTTTATTGCATCTGCAGTCTTTATTTTTCCATCCCGTTTAGATGTGGATGAGAAGTTAGTTTTGTACCAAAAATGTTTGTTTTTCAGGACTTGCTCAGCTCTGGTCTCTTCAGGGATTCATTTGGAAAATACAGATGATGTGTTCGTTCATTTTGTTGTCGAATCATTGTGATCAGCATAGATTAACCCTGAACTGGCTGATCTATTGGGTCTATTTCTAATCAAGACATAATAAAAAAATTAAATCCTTAACCCTGTTTTTTTTATTAAGTTAAATCAAACCTACAGTGAACAAAAGAACAACTAGAACAAAGTCAACAGATTCCTTTTTTTATATTTTTATTTTTTCAGGCAGGTCCCAGAGGGTTATAACGCTGCTATAAACAATCTCTACTTTGGCCTCAGTGCTTACTTACTTACTTTTTAAGTTGAAAGTTCTTTTTTTTTTTGCTGTGTTGGTTTTCTGCATTCTTGCATCAGTTTGCATTTAGTCTATAATATTTCCATTACATTTTACTGCAGCAAAAGTAAAAAAAAAAATTAATTGGTGCTTCCTTTTCTGCACCAGGACATTAAACAGACCTCCACACATTCATTACTTAAACAAACATGATTTACTCTCCACTACGCCCAACAGCTGATATCATGTGTTTACCCTGATATTCTGAATTTATTGTTATATGACCAAAAATTTCCACTCTGGTCTCATCTCTACATCTAAGTGTTCTAAAATTAATGTTGACATTTTAACTCCGTTTTCCATGTGATCCACTGAAGCAGGGACTAATTAAACTTGTCTGCTATTACTGTGTACACCCTGAAGGCAGCAGCAAGTTAAAGCATGTTATTAAGATTAGAATACCAATACAATCAAAAGGTTGAAAACGGTTGGTTTACCGCTCTTCAAAAAAACCCAAAAACTTTTAGTTCTCTGACTTTGATTACAAAATGATTCCCATAATATTACCATAATCCAAAACATAAAAAACATGCTGTGTTAATAGGAATTTGAAAAAACTGCAGTCCTGAAATTAAACTAGACATTTTTAAAAAAAGGTTCCAGGTTTGATTCCTGGCCTGGGTTCTTTCTACATGGAGTTTGCATGTTCTCCCTGAGCGTTCGTGGGTTCTCTCCAGGCACTCCGGCTTCCTCCCACAGTCCAAAAACTTGACTGTTAGATTGGCTTCTCTAAATTCTCCTTAGGTGTGAGTTGTGTGTGTGAATGGTTGCCTCTGTGTTGCCCTGCGATGCACTGATGACACCTGAGTGAAGTTGCCCCCCCCCCCACCTTCTTCAAATCAGACAAAGTTAGTGTCAAACGTTTGTGCAGCAAAAAATTTTGTTAGTGCTGATTTGGATTTGAAGATATTAATGAAAATATAAAGGTCAAAATGTCAACCAGCCCCCCCACCTTTTTCAAATTAGACAAAATTGATGTCAAACGTTTGTGCTGGTTTGTGCAGCATAAATTTTCGTTTGTGCCGCTATTGTTTTAAAGATATAAAAAAAGATTTCTAGAGGTCATCAAAGATCAACCAGCCCCCCCACCCCACCCCCCACCTTATTTAAATCAGACGAAAGGTGTCAATTAACTCAGCTCCGTTTGTGCTGGTCTGGATTTGAAGATTAGAAGAAAGAAAGTGGGGGGGGGCTGGTTGACCTTTGATGACCTTGTAGAAACATCTTTTTATATCTTTAAAATGAAAGTGGCATAAACGACAATTTTTGCTGCACAAACGGAGCTGAGTTAATTGACACCCATTTGATGACCCTTTGATGACCTCTAGAAATCTTTCTTTATATCTTTAAAACAATAGCAACACAAACGAAAATTTTTGCGGCACAAACCAGCACAAACGTTTGACACAAATTTTGTCTGATTTGAAGAAGGTGGGGGGGCCAACTTCACTCGGGTACTGACGACCTGTTTAGGGTGGACCCCGCCTCTCACCTGTAGACAGCTAGAGATGGGCACCAGCACTCCTCGTGACCCTGCTTGGGGTAAGCGTGATGGAAAACGCATGGATGGATGTTCCATCTAAGCTTTTAATTTCTATTTCTCAGGTTGAGTTTTACAAATCGCATTATTTTCCAACTAAGTTTTGCAGATCAGGTTCTCTTCTTTTTCTGAGATGAGGAGCAAAGCCGCATCCGATTGGTCTGCTGGACGTTAGAAACTACATTTCATTGGTCAAGAGTAGCATTATTATTGGGTTTAAATGGAAGAGAATCTCATATGTAAAATGTAATTTCAGAAAAAATAAATTTGTAAAACTCAATCTAAAGAAAGAGAAACAACAATGAAAAAAAATGTATATATATATATATATATATATATATATATATATATATATATATATACACATAAAATAAGCAAAAAAAAAAATCTTTAAAAGGTTTTTTTATTCAATAAACTCAAAGCAAACATTTTTACTGATGTTTAACTGCTTTCTTTTTCACATTTTCGTTTACAAATGCGTTCTTTACTTCCAAGAATAATGGAACAAAATGTACTTTTTTGTTTTTTAGATAGTATATTGAGACAGGAGACCTAATAAAAGTTGGAGAGATCATAAACTTGATTGTAAACCAAGTTAATTGTTCTCTATGATAAGGAAAACCATTGCAGACTGATTCATCAGTTTTTAATCAGATTGCTCAATAAGATGGATGCAGGTCCGAGCATTTCCTCTGAGGGAGGGGGAATGGGCGTGGCCTGTGTAGGGGGCGTGGCCTAGCAGCTGAACTGAACTGTTGCTTCACTCTGGATCCATCTTGCAGCGCTTCTCCCTGCAGAACTCTAACGGTACGGTTTTCTTCTAAAAGTTTCTAGAAGTTGTTTGATAAGGAGCAGCGCGTGCTGTCTGAGCGGGTGCCATCCTCCATGGCACAGCTAGCTTAGCCCTCGCTGCTAGTGGTCACACTTCTTCTAATATCGCATTTTTCTGCAACTTTCAGGCACATTCTCCGTGAAAATGGCCCAATCTATCCTGGACACGGCGTCCGGAGCCTCCACCGGAACCCTGCAGGTCACAGAACCTCTGAACTTCTGGGCTGGAAAACGGGTGAAACCCAGAGAGGAGAAAAACGCCGAGCCCGTGTTCGAGCCAGCGACTGGTAGGTTACGAGATCCAGCTGGTTTTGGTAGTAATGGAGGTTAAAAGTGACAAGTAGCACAAAAAAACACAGAACAGAGCTCCTAATCCAGACTACCGAGGAGTTCATGTCAGTAAGGGGGTGTGGATGAGGCTGAAGTTGGCCTCACATTGAGAAATAATCTGAACTTCATAAATCTGATCAGATTATTTTAATGACAGTTTGACAGATCGACCCCTTTGCTCATATTTAGGAGTTTGAAGAATCCTTCAAACTTTCAGATGCTACATAAGTAAAGCCACTTATGGCAATGATGGAAAATATAAACGCTTATTTCAAGGTTCCGATATGCAAACACTCTTATGTAATAAAAAAAATAAATAAATTGATTTTATTGAAATCACAGTTGAGGAATTAAAATCAGCTCAAATAGTCAAAGAAGAGGAATGTGGCAAAGGAAGAGAAAGGTACATGGGATCTATAAAGCATATAGAGTGCATCCACACATGACAGTTTTTTTTTATCAAATAAATATAAAAAAAATATTTAAAAAAAGGACCAATCATGCTTTCTAAAGTTAGCCTTTTAATAATAATTGAACTTTAATTATCTCACAATGGAGAAATTTACCTCTGCATTTAACTAGTGATGGTGAGATGAAGCCTCATGAGGCTTTTGAACCGTTTGGCCAAATTGCTTCAATGATCCTCATAGTTCAAGAAGCCTCATGTCAACATGTCACCACCTACTGGTGGAGTGCAGAACTACAAAATAATCCGTTTTTTTTTTTTTTTTGCAATCGTTTTTCTTGATGTTTTTTCCCCCCCATATAAGTTCCTTTGAAATTGTTAATGATTGGTCTGTATAATAAAATCTTTTGTCAGTTTTTTCTGTGTAAAATGTCTTTGAAGAGAAAAACTGTTTGCTGTTTTGGTTTTCTGCATTCTTGCATCAGCTTGCATTTAGTCTATAATATTTCCATTACATTTACTGCAGCAAAAGTAAAAAATAATAATAATAATAAATCAGTGTTTTTCTGCCATTTTTGTGAAATAAGCTCAAGCAGGCAGTGAAAGTGCTTGTACAAATTTTGGATCGATGAACAAAATTGAAGGTGTTAGTCTTTTTATTCAAACATAATAGTTTTTCAAGAGTTTTTTGTTTTTAATCGGGTTGGAAGTTAGGTGTTAAACCAACCTAACTTTGGCAGTTTTTTTTACCCAATCTATATTTGCTCTAGGGCAAACCAAAACAAATTAGTTACATAAGCCAAAAAAAAAAAAAGTTTTATTGCAACTTTAAAAAGTCTGATGTAGGTCTCTAACCATCAACCTCAAAAGTGGAAATCCATCTCTTACAGCTGACACCATTAGGGAGATGAGGATAATTTTGAAAGCAATACTACTTAAAATCCATTACATTTGTAACCAGTAGCTCACTCTGATTGTGATCAGTACATTGTTTAATCTAACCAAACTTGCTTTAACCAACTAGACTGTTTTTCCATACAATCTATTCTTAGAATATATTCAGAAATATCCAACTGACTACAAACTCCCACATCCTGACTGAATACTGAGGTTGTTAAAATGCCTTCCAGAAGCGTTCACATGGTATGGCGGGGTGGCGAGTCTTCAGACGCCATCTATTTTGGCTCCTCCCCCAAATGAAGCAAGCCTCAATATGCTCGTGGAAAATCCCCCTCCAGTACTCGACGCACGCCTCGGCACATTTAACCCATCCCCTTGGGGAGCAGTGGGCTGCCATTGTGCGGCGCCCTGGGGAGCAGTGTGGAGTTAAGCGTCTTTGCTCAGGGACCCAGAGTGGCAGTCTGTGGGAGTGGGGCTCGACTCAGAACCTCAGGATTCCAAACCCTATGCCCTAACCACTAGGCCGCCATTCTCCTGTGAGCAACAGGTTTCAGGATTGAGGAGTCTGATAGTCGGGGCTGGTTAAAGCGTATGGAGTGAAGTTTGTTCCATTATTGTTTCAAGCACACATTTTGTAAAAGGGGGGAAAAAAATCTATCCAGAAATCAAACTTTGGAGAAAAAAAAATTTGACTAACGTTTTTTACTAAGAATTTTTTTGTTTTTAACAAATTTTATATTTTCAAAATTTATTTTAAAGAATCTGCATCCAGCAGACCTATAGAAATGTCTCCAGGTGAAGAGAACACGATCTGTAAAACGCAATTTGAAAGGAATGCAGTTTGTTATGCTCGATATAATAGAGAAAAGAAAAGTGAATATAAAAAGTGGAAACTTTTTTTGAAAACATAACATCTGAAAAAATGGAAAAAGTTACATTGAACAAAATGGAATATAAAAGTGTTTTTTTTTTTTTTTAAACAAGGATCTGAGAAAATAAAAATGTTCGTCTTAAAATCTATTCTTGATCAAGAAGTTTTTTTTTTAAAGCTTCATTTCTGAATTGTTATTCCAATTTCCATTTGAAAATCTTTTTCTTGTTAATTTTAATGGAACAGAATTTACTCTATAAACTTAAAGTGATCAAGAAACATAATTTTCTACTTTTATTACGTAAAACAGTAGAACTATTGCTTTTATCAACTCACAATCATATTTTAACAAACGTTTTTATTGTTTGATGAGTCGTCTGTCCTCCACCTCTGCTCCCTTCCTTCCTTTTACTGAACGCTGACTCAGACACAACAGATCACATACTAACTTCAGCACTGTAGGTAGTTGTAGCGTCATTATTTTGAATTGAATACTTGAACTGTTTGCTCTCTAGCCGTCTGTAACCTGTTCTCCCTGCAGGCCGGGTTCTGTGCCAGCTGCCGCCCTGTGGGGCCGAGGACGTGGAGGCCGCCATCCAGAGCGCCCACTCTGCCTACGTGGAGTGGAGCAAGAAGTCTGGCATGGAGCGGGCCCGGGTCATGCTGGAGGCCGCCCGCATCATCAGGGTGAGCCGCTCTACAGGCCGTCCACTTTTACTGTCCTGATTGTGCAACTCGAATTGGAGCCGAATGAAAGGGAGAGAGACGCTGGTTATTCATTAACAGCCCCCCCCCTCCTCCTAACAGTTTCCCAGCATTTGTTCTAAATCATTCCTTTGTGTCCTTTCGGCCCTTTTAATGAAGGAGTTTTTTATTTATTCTGGTTCAAACAGGAAAGGAGGGAGCAAATCGCAAAGCTGGAATCCATCACCAACGGGAAGTGCATCACTGAGGCTCTGGTTGACATCGACGTCGCCTGGCAGACCATGGAGTTTTACGCCGGCATGGCTGGGACCCTCACAGGTGGGTATGGGGTGTAAATCACATCCATCATGGCGATTCGATTCAGTATCGATTTCCTGACCCAACGATTCGATTTTTTTCGATACTCAAGAATACACCACAATACGATACGATTCGATTAATTGGTTAATTTTTTTTTATTTTTATTTTTTTACACCTTACAGGCTAGACAATGTTTCAAATGTGACATAAATCAATGAAAGTTGTAATAACTTTATGAATTTTTTTGAGAAACGACAGCAAATAACAGAAGTAGAAAAGTTGCATTAAAAAAAAATGCAAAAATACTGAACAATGTATAGAGTGCTCTGAAAAAGTGCAATCAGTGCAATGAGTGCAATGCAATACCTCGGCTCCAGACGTCCCGCCCCCTCCACAGACGCTCCGCTGCACCTCTCCAAAATTGTAGCTGACCGCAGACAGGAGGCCGGCTTGTTTTGTTTTTATGACTGAAACTGCGGAAAAAAAATTGTGAAGTTTGACCTGTTAGAAAAGCGAGGTGCGTGAGAACGCTGGGACCCTTTTTCATCTTGGATCTCCGCTCTTTTTGGCCCTCATGTCCCTCCGTCGTCGGACTAAACTCGCCCCCACTTCCTCGCCGCCTCGGCCGTATCTAGACCCACAGCGTGTAGCTCAGACCACGCTTCAATATTGAGCATAAATCATAAATGTCTGTGTCAAGCTCACTGCAACACACTGCTGTAAGAGTATAACCAGGAAGCGAGGTAGGAGGGCAAAATAGGTTTAGCGCCACCGCAGCACGGGAGGAGAACTACGCCCAGGAGCAAATGGATAAAAATAGACAGGAGGAAAAAAAAACAAGAATCGATTCTCTTGCGGACGTGTCGATGGATCGGATTGTCGGCTGTTGGATCGATGCATCGATACAAAACCATTATTATTTACACCCCTACAGGTGGGGGCAGCGCCGTCCCACCGCAACCATTCTCTCTTCTTTCAAGCTTTGTCTGAAGGTGTTTTTTTTTTCTGTCATCCATGTCTGCAGGTCAGCACATCCAGCTTCCTGGCGGGGCCTTCGCCTACAGCAGGAGGGAGCCGCTGGGCGTGTGCGTGGGGATCGGGGCCTTCAACTACCCGTTCCAGATCGCTGTGACCAAGTCGGCTCCGGCTCTGGCATGCGGTCGGTGAACAGCAGAGTGTTTCCGGCTCTCATTAGAGTCACAGATCCAGGGGTTTGATGGGGTTTTATTTTTTTTAGGTAACTCCATGGTGTTTAAGCCGTCTCCCATGACGCCAGTGACCGCCGTGGTGATGGCTGAGATCTACAAGGAGGCGGGGGTTCCTGACGGCCTCTTCTGCGTGGTCCAGGGGGGAGCGGAGACCGGCTCTCTGCTCTGCCAGCACCCGAAGGTGGCTAAGGTCTCCTTCACCGGCAGCGTCCCAACAGGCAAGAAGGTAGATCTATTTCGCCGCTCTAACATTCTGAGTTTAACCCGACGGGTCTGAATGATGGCGTCCCGCCTGCCACTCCTCTCAGGTCATGGAGATGTCCGCTAAGGGGGTGAAGCAGGTGACTCTGGAACTGGGAGGGAAGTCTCCCCTCATCGTCTTCAAAGACTGCGATCTGGAGAACGCCGTGAGGGGGGCGCTCATGGCCAACTTCCTGACGCAGGGACAGGTAAGAACTATCCGGTTTGGATCAGCGCTGTTCAGCTGGGTCGCTCTGAGCTCAGCGGGTCGGTTTGAAACCTGCAGGTCTGCTGCAACGGAACCAGGGTGTTTGTGCAGAAGGAGATCATGCCTCAGTTCCTGGACGAGGTGGTGAAGAGGACCAAGGCCATCTCCGTTGGCGACCCACTGCTGGACGGCACCCGGATGGGAGCCCTGATCAGCAAACCTCAGCTGGACAAAGCTCTGGGCTTCGTCTCTCAGGCCAAGAAGGAGGTTTGGTTCTGGCCGGATTCTAGGATTGGAGGACGTTCTCCGGTTCTGCTCTTAAATTCGTCTATTTATTGTTTTTTCAGGGAGCCAAAGTGCTTTGTGGAGGAGAACCTTTTGTCCCCACTGACCCCAAACTGAAGGCGGGTTATTTCATGTCCCCTTGCGTCCTCGGTATGTCTGAACCCTGTCCCTCTAGTGCCCCCTGCTGGTGTTATTCTAACCTCCCTTCCGTTCACAGAAAACTGCAGAGACGACATGACCTGCGTGAAGGAGGAGATCTTCGGTCCGGTTATGTCCGTCCTGCCGTTTGACACCGAGGACGAAGTGATCCAGAGAGCCAACAACACCACCTACGGCCTGGCCTCTGGCGTCTTCACCAGGTTAGCTTCGACCGGCGGCGCTTCCCATCAGCCGCTAGGATCTGCTTTGCTCCTGGGCCGGATCTGCAGGGGGCCGACTGGGGCCAAAACTGTAGATGGAAAGCTTGGGCAAAAAAATATCTGCAATCTACCATGGCAACACTTCACATTAGAATAGTACCTTTTTTTTCTTCATTTCCACTGAATAACAAAGTGTGGATAAAAACAGAACCAGTGGGATCAAACCTCGCTGGTGTGCAGTTGGGAGGGCGGGGCTTAATGTCTGACAGTAACCCAGAAATCCCACATCCTCCGTATCCGCCCCGCTGCGCTCCACACCTCCTGCACAAAGCAAAGCCTACAGCCTCCGCGGTTCCTCCCGTCTTGCTCCGCTCTGACTTCTTCTGAGCATGAGGAGAGCATGCGATATTTAACTCATAGGAGAAAAACATGCGGTAATGAAAGTACAGATATAATTCGCTGTGGTTTTCCATGTTACCTATATTGTAATCACGCGTTATATTTTGTTATAATGTTTGGAAAATATTGAATTTTAAGATGATGGAGAAAAAAAAACATTCTTTCTGAGCTGCCCCAGCGCCCCCTGGTGGCAGCCTCCACAGTTATCCTCAGCTTAGACACGCAGGGTGCCAAAGTGATCGATCTGGGTCCTTTTTTGAGCTGCTTTGCTTCCCGGCACAAAGATCGTCTCTGTAAAGTCATGGTTGAAATCCATCTTTGTTTTTTCTCAGTTATTTATTTTTTGTGGGTTATTTTTTATGTAGTTAGTATTTACCAAAAATTATCTTGACACCATCATTAATGTTAAAATTTTTTGTGGATTTTCGTTTGACTTTGTTAATGTCTAATAGATTTTCTACATGGTTCATTCATTCAGTAAAGAGATCCAGCAGTGCCGTCAGTCTAGTAGCCATTTCGCCTTGAAGGGAGGGAGTTGTATTGCTGTCTGTTGGCTTCCTTCCATCCTCCCCCACCAGCAGAACTGGCCTTTTGTTAATCTTTTACCACGTGAACCAACACATTCCCTCCATTTGCAGGGATATTTCTCGAGCTCACCGCGTGGCACAGCGGCTGGAGGCGGGGACTTGCTTCATCAACAACTACAACAACAGCCCTGTGGAAATGCCCTTCGGAGGATACAAGATGTCAGGTGGGTTGTTTGTTTGGACGTTCAGAATGACTTCTTCTGTAACGGTGAAGGATTAACCTGGACTCTTGGATCTTCTCAGGCTTCGGCAGGGAGAACGGCCAGGTCACCATCGAGTACTACTCCCAGCTGAAGACGGTGGTGGTGGAACTGGGAGACGTGGAGAATCACTTCTGAACTCTGAACCTTTGAACCGACGCTGAACTATTGCGCCACAGAGAGGCTTTAGAGAAACCTGCTTTCCTGTTTTACTAAATCACCAGTTCCTCCGCTAACAGAGACCTAAACTTTCTGACCACAGCATTTAGCAGCTTTGCTCAAGTTGGTGTGATGGCATAGGAGTCTAGATTTAAAGCAAGAAGCCTAACAAACGCAGCGTGAGCATTAGTAAGAAACACCTGCTGATTGTTGTGTTTAAATAAAACCACAGAAAGTCTTTATGAAAATAAAATCTTTCAGTGCCAGATGTCTCCTCATTATTCAACAATGTGTTTTATGAAACAGGGTTTCAGCAAATCATTAAAAAAATTAAGTCAATATTTTTTTTATTTGGGCCTTAATTGCCATTAAAATTCATTAAATGTGATAATTGTGGCATTTAAAATGCTTTACTTAAAAGATTATGTAAAAAAATTCATCAGATATATCAGAACTGGTTTCGTGTGTTTGGACAAAACTGCTTCCGCTTGATTGTAAAGTGGCTGGAAAATGAGGAATTTGGGACATGGCTGCAGCCTGTTGACGGTAAAGATGACAACAGATTTTGCTGTCTTTGAGTAGAAATAATGGATTTTTACCCGCCCCTTATGAACAAAAATGGGGCTGCACCTTGAGCAGTGGGTAGCGCATTGCAGAAGGTTCTGGGTTTGATATTTCTGCATGGAGTTTGCATGTTCTCCTGTGCATACATGGGTTTTCTTCAGGTCCTGTCCTTCTCCCACAGTCCTAAAAAACATGACTGTTAGTGTAATTGGCTTCTCTAAATTGTCCTTAGGTGTGGATGTGTCTTTGTATGTCTTTGTTGCCCTGCAACAGATTGGCGACCTGTCCAGGGTGGACCCCGCCTCTCGCCCATAAACTCCTGGAGATAGACGCCCGCTCCACCAGCTCTCCGACAAGGATTAAGGGGGAGAAAATTGATGGATGGCTTGGTTTGATCATTAAAGTCAGTTTTATATCATATGGTTGTTAGGACCTGATGTGCAGTTTTTAAAAAATATAGCATGAACTCCTCTTTAGATTGTTATTTTTTAGCAGAACAGTTATTTAATGTTTTAAAAATTAGGGGAATGTTGGCCAAGTGGTTAGAGTGGTGTGCTTGTGCTCTGAGACGCTTGAAAGTATAAGGTTCAGGCCCCACAACCTGCACTCTGGGTCCCTGAGCAAAGACCCTTAATCCCATAATGCTTCCTGGGCGCCACACAGCGGCAGCCCACTGCTCCCCAAGGGGATGGGTTAAATGCAGAGGTAGATTTCTCCAATGTGAGATCAGTAAAGTTAAATTTCTTTCTAATTTCTAAATAAAATTTAAAAAATACATTTTCTTGTGACCTGGCCGTTATTCCCCCATGCCCCATCTGTGCCGCTTCAGTGTAACATTTCCCCTCCTCATTGACACTGTTTAAGGGGCAGCAGCCCTGCAGTTTGCACAACCATCACACCAGCATCTGGCATATACTAGGCAAATAAATAAAGAAGCTAATTAAAAGACATATATACATTTATGTCTCACTGTATAATTTAATTTCTACCTACATTTATTTGTTTATTCTATTTTTGGGGGGCAATTAATTGTATGCTTATTTATTTATTGAGCATTTATTTATTTCTGTATTTATTTTTAAATATAGTAGAGCTGGTCCTTTCCTGGTACCGGCCTCTGGGTAGATATACTCCACACCGATAGGTGGCGGTAATGCTAACCTAACTTTATTGCCAACCGCCAATAAAATCGAGGAGAAGACGTTTGTTTTGCATCCAGCTGGACGATCATCTTACAGTTTAACAATGCAGGTAAACTTCACACCCCCCCATAAATTAAAAAATAAATAAATAAAGTGAAACATCTTTTTATTTAACATCTGTGACATTTTATTCTCCGTACGCTAGCATATATCTAAGCACCGTTAGCCTAGCCTGCTAACTGTTTGTATCAGTTGCCGGATGGGATTGAGTTCTGCTCTTTATTTTGGTAAAATGTTTTTTTCTCAGCAACGTGAGGAGAAGCAGCTGGAAGCCTCGGTGGACTCCCTCATCACTCTGGTGGCTCATGTTAAAAACGCTCTGCAGAATTTCATTTACAAGCTGGAGAACGAATACGAGCGTCTGACATGGTGAGTTTATCACCTGATAAAAGTAAACAGATCCCACTCTGTAGTGGGAATAAACACCAGGAGATGTTTATTCTGCGCTGACCCAACCTAACGTCAATAATACACACTAAAAACATTTATTTCTGACTTCAAACCTGCTTAATAGTCCAAAATAGTTTGTTTTTATAGCAATGTCTAAAGGGGAAACTACAACAACAGATGATTATGATCTTGTTTTACTTTGTCCTCCAGTTTTCCTACATTAATACAAACTAAATCTTATACTAAAACTTACATTATTAATGTTTGAATGGTACAAGTTTTCACTTTTAAGTCCAATTGAAATGTATGGCTGCAACTAATGATGTTTTAATGCTTTAATAATCGATTAGTAAATATATTATTTGATTAAGTGACTGATTAAGCAATTATTTTCTAGGAAAAAAAATACATTTGATGTGCACCTTATACAGGGTTCCTGCGTGTAATTAAATTATTATTTTTTAAATTAAGGCCTTAATTGGCATTAAAATTAATTAAATGTGATTATCAGGGCATTTATAATGCTTTACTTTTAAAAAGATGCATAAACGCTTCACTTTATTTCATTGTTAAATTCTGTTTAAACTACCAGATTGTAATTAAAAATGTCTCCGGATCTTTACTGGTTGATAATTTTCTTTATTCTGACCCAGACTTGTTCACAAGTCATTTTTTGCTAGTCCAAGTCAAGTCTCAAGTCTATTTGCGTGTTTGCTTGTTTCTCCTTGTGTTTTCATCTCCTTCACTGAGACGGTATAGCTTAAAGGTCACTATTATATCTATGGAATGATCACTATCTTGAACTGGTCAGTGACGTCAGTGCTACATGACTGTTTGACAGCCCCTGTGCCGGTTTTTTTTTTTTTTGACCTCTGCTGTGTGCGTGTAAGGCGAGCGGCGATCAGTCAAGTTAGTAAAACAAAAAAACGCTTAAAAAATATATATTGTTCACAAGTCAGAAATCGCATGTCTCATCGAGTCTGAAGTCCTTCAAATGCAAGTCTAAGTCGAGTCTGAAGTAATTAAATATGCGACTTAAGTGCGACTCGAGTACGAGTCACAAACTCGAGTCCCCACCTCTGTTCTGACCCCGCTGATTTTTAATTTGTCACCCCTGATCTACAGCATGATTCACTAAACATACTGGGTCTTAGCTCTTCGTCTTTGCTTTAGACTCGTTCACCTCAGGTGAACAAAAAGGCCTCAGCAGCTATCTTCAATTTAAAAGTATATGATGGTGATTTGTCCACAATGAAAAAGACGTGTCAATATTTTTTTTTTATTGTCGATAAAGTCGACTTAACGTTGAAGCGCTGGTTTATAGGATGGTTCATTCTCTGAGAACCCAGCAGAACCATTTCTGTGTTCCTGTCACTCAGGCCTTCTGTTCTGGACAACTTCGGGCTCCTGTCTGGTCAGCTGAACACCATCAATAAGATGCTGAAGAATGAGAAGACGCCGTCGTTTCGCAGCCAGGTTATCATCCCGCTGCTCCTGTCTCAGAAGCCAGACGACGATCTAACCGTGAGTTTTACTAGTTTGTTCTGTGTATTTCATAGGAATTCTGCTTTTTATTTATTTTATTATATATTTTTTTGCAGGTCCTCACAGAGCAGCGTGTCCCGGTGTTCAGCCATGAGATCGTTCCAGACTACTTGCGGACCAAACCTGATCCAGAGGTGGAGGAGCAGGAAAAGCAGCTGAGCGCAGAGGCGGCACGCATCGGTCCTGATGTGGCACAGGTCGGTTAGATGCTGTGTGAATATCTCCTGATTGGTTTTTATTCACATTAAAAACATTTAACATGTTTCCTCGTCGTTTTGTGAACAGAAACAGATTCAAGCGTTGAATAAAATGTGTTCCAATCTGCTGGAGAAGCTCAACAACCCACGTGACGACAGAGATGCTGAGACTGGCGGTGTGTTACATTTCTTCCTTCACTCCTAGGTTTAAATATCCTGACTAAAACCAGGTTCCCGTGGATCCTTGAAGCGGGGGCTGAGATCTGATATATGTAGCGATCCCAATCATCATTATTCTGGCGTGTGCGTATAATCGTCGATACTACAGCTCTCAAGGCGGGAATTACTCAAACAAAGATGGCGGCTACCGTAACATTCAGGAACTTATGGATACCAGGAACCTGGACGCTATCCAGGTCCGCCCACATTTCCATGAGAGCCTCGGTCTCGGCATCATCCCAGGTCGCACCACGCTGTTTTGATGCCGATTATTGTTGACAGGCTGAGAAGAACTTCATGTTGTGAACAGGATCTGTTAGCTACATGACAGAAAACCCGCAAAACGAGTCAGCTGACTGTAAATGGGAGATGACGCGGTGTGCTCTAGGTTATCAGAGAACCCAGCCACAGATGAACCGAGCTAAGCGCTACTGCTGAACTAGTACTATTTTAGCACGGTTTAGTTATGTCTGCTGCGCTCCAGTTCAGTTGCGTTCCATTTACACTCAGAGGTTTTCTCAGCTACCATTCCCGGACTGTTTTTGACGGTTTTAAAAGGCTAAATACTCCTGAAGACATGACATCAGTTCTCTGTTGAATGTTTGTTTCTTCACCACTAGGTGGCCCCAGTGAGGGTTTGGAGCTTATCTCACCAAACGATCTCAATGAGATTAATATGAATTAATCAACCTTCTTTCATTGATTTTTTTCCAACAACCATTTTACCAACAAGTTTTTAGTTCTTTCTTTTGAATGTAATTAAATAGGTTATTGTAGCACATTTATTAGAACCCTGTTTAAAAAAAAAAAAGTTCTAAAAGTTCTTTATTTTCTTCCTTCCCAGCATCACGACTGAACAAACCGTCCTTTAACCCCGGAGACACCAACGCTTTGGTTGCCGCCGTTGCTTTTGGAAAAGGGCTTTCCAAATGTAGGCCTCCTGGCCCCATGGCCCCTGGACACCCAGGACAGGGGCCCATGATGAGCGGGGGCCCAACCCTACAGCAGGTCACCATTGGAGGTGGTTCAGGCCAGCAAGCAGGTATGGGAGGACCTGTAGCTCCACAGCAGCAAGGACAGCCGGGTAAGAGGCCTGGTTTCTACAGGAGGAAACAAACAGGACTAAAGGGAGTTTGGAGCTGCAGCTTTTACCTCGTTATGTTTTTGGATATTATTGCAATAATGTCTGCAGGTTTCAAGGTTTACATACAGTTATTATCAGCCTTATAGTCGAATAAATTAACAAATAAGAAACTCCAAAGGTTTTTTGTTGACGATGAAAGAGGAACTCTGGAGGTTTTCACTAATCTAAGAACATTTAGGAGGAAAACTGCTCAGACAGCATGAGGGGACCTCTGCGGGTATACAGCTGAGTCTGGGAGCATATATGTTATCTAAAGGGAAGGAAAAAAACAGCCTTAAAGGACTAAAAATTATATCTAATATTTATTGACAGTTTATACAAGTTGTAAAGGATTCTGTTGTCTCTAGAGCCATCTAGTGGTCCAATTAGGTAAGTGCCACAGCGCCCATTAATTCCTGGTCTGATGCAAGATTAGAGCCTGATGCAAACAATAATGGCTGCAACTATTTTGCTAATTGATTAGTAAATTATTTGGCTAATTCAATTCAGTTTATTTCTATAGCGCCAATTCAAAACACATGTCATCTCAAGCACTTTACAGTTCACCAGATGATACAGTCAAATTGATTCAGAGTTTTCAACCTAAGGAAAGCCAGTTGATTGCATCGACGCAGAGATACAAAAAGCAACTGTAAAGGCGGCGCCATCCAGGAAACATACAGCCAGGCAGACGAGCTCTGAGCCAGCTCCCATGTTGGAGGATGAAGAGAGAACATCCAGTTAGTCACAGTCAGAGAAACAGGACTACACTGAAAAACAGGCAACATCTATAAACAAATGTGCTGATGGCAGCAGCACAGAGATAGAACTAACAGATTCTGCAGAGTGGGAGAATAGAGATAGAATGAACCAGAATGATGAAATAGGGGTCCCTATGTCCTCCAGCAGTCTAAGCCTATAGCAGCATAACTATAGAGATAGATCAGGATAACCTGAGCTATCTCTAACTAGAAGCTTTATCAAAAAGGAAAGTTTTAAGCCTAGCCTTAAAAGTAGACAGGGTGTCTGCCTCACGGACTAAAACTGGTAGTTGGTTCCACAGGAGAGGAGCCTGATAACTAAAAGATCTGCCTCCCATTCTACTTTTAGAAATTCTAGGAACCACTAGTAAACCTGCAGAATAAATTTTTTCCACTCCAGGAGCTCTGGAGAGATGGAGCATTTTTATGTCATGCTATTTTACAACTTTGTTATTATTACTGCTCTAAGTGGGTCGCTCTGTCAGCTAAAGGCACGTTTTAGAGTCTCTATACTCCAATTAACGGTTAATTAATTACTAAATTAGTTGACTATTTTGATAATTAATTAATCACAACGGTACCTTATCAGGGTGAGTTATTCTTCATGTATGCAATTGTTAAATCCTAATATATGACCTACCTGAGTAGATATATTTTTTTCCTACTCATAGTGTAATATTAAATCATAGAGGCTAAAGTTTTTCCCAAGCAGTTTTTTTTTTATTAGGAGGGTTCTTCTTAACAAATATTTGGAAATAAAATGGGATTATACCGAGATAATAATACATCCGATAGGCTGACAAGAAGAACACGTGTTTAATCTGAGGTGAAGATGAAGCAGGTAAAACGGCAGGCAGGTGTCGATCCATGACGCACAGTGAAGGATCAACCAGACTCTTCAGGAACGAGAAGCAGAGGAAACCATGTTCAGGGCTCATTTTCCAGGGATGCCACTGTGTGCCGACGCCTTTAGCCTACAGCTGTGCGATTTGTGCAATTTCTCATTTCGCAGCTTCCATTACAAAGCAAACAAAGCTGCTCTTAAAGCCTAATGGATGAGTTAAAACAAGGCTAACGGCTTAGCTTCCTCTGGAAGGACTAACTGCAGCCCAAGGTCAAGCAGACATGGAAGTGAAAGGAAGTGACATCACTTCAGACCTTTACATCGTCAAATTAAGAGAGCGATAAAAATTGTTCTTAATTAAACTTCAACATTAAAACTAAGCATAAATAAATGATTTGTCAACAGAAGGATTTGTAGCAGTAGATCAAACAAATAACTCAGCATGACGCCGATGATGAGTGTTTTTAAACTTATGAGCTGCTCTGCCTGATCAGATGATTTGAGATTTTTTTTTCTTCTGCTGCAGGAAAAATGCCGAGCAGCATCAAGACCAACATTAAATCTGCGTCTGGTTCAATGCATCCCTACAACCGATGAGCCGCCGGCTGCTCCTCCTCCTCAGGCTGCATGGAACGGATGGATGTTCAGGAAGCTGTTGCTCAGCTCCAGGCCGCCTCTGTGGATCACAGTTTGAGTTTTACCAGCGTGAGGTTGGTGGAGCTCATGTTTGCAGCCACTAGAGGGCACTGCGTCATCATTAAAGGGACTAAAACAACTTTATATGTTCAGACACTTCATCTGATTTTTTACTTTTTTTTTTTAATAAAAGAACTAAGAATTCAATGTTGTTTTTTCTTGATTATATAAAAAAAAAAAAAAAGAAATAAAACCTGAAGTAACCGAGGAAAAAATCTCCACTAAGATCCGCCCCGAGGTTTGAACCTGCTTCTGTTTGTGCTTTTTCACTTCTTTGTTCTTTTTTTTTTCTGCACCAAAGGTGAGAGTAATAAGGGCAGACGTCGCTCTGTGTGGCCTGATAATGTCAAAGTGTTTAAGGCGGGGCGGGGGGGATAGGGAGGCATTGCTGCTGACGTGTGAGGGGGTCCTCTCTCTGTCCACTCCAATCCCCGTCCCGCTGCACAGCACCGTGCCGCCGTGGCAGCGTGCAGGCCCGTGGCTGACCTACATACACCCTCTGAGCGCAAACCGGCCGCCGTCTCACGGCGTCAGACGCTCTGCTGAGACAGCTCAAAGCTGCACAAGGTCACACTCCTGTTCACAGATGAAGGATAAGTCACAAACAAAAACCCAACAGAGAACAGTGAACGCTCAGCTCCATGTCACAGCAGAGACCAGATGGAGATGGAAAAACCAGTTTCAGGCTCTTTAGAATAAACATTTACAACCACAGCAAATATCTTCGCTTAAAACCTGATGGGGGTTCCTGAAAAAAAGAAAAAAGTTTATCTTTTTGAATTCAGTTTGCTCTATTAATTAATTCTGTCATATAACGGACCTGAACATTCTACTGTTAGTTGTGGGGAAAAACTTTCATACCGGAGAGTTACATCTAAAATTAATCCTAATCCTGGTGGATTTTAATTTAAAATCATTAATAATGTCTCAGCAGGACCTTGACAAACAAATTCTAGCTTTAGTAGAATTGATCACAGCAGTTTATTTTTATTTTTACAGGTATGCCTAGAAAGTGGATCAGAGCTGCAGTTGATCCAGAAAGCCGCTGCCTGCATCCTCACTAGAACTAGGAAAGTAGAGAACATCAGCCAATCTCTAAAGTCCTTCCACTGGCTCCTTGTATCTCAGAGAATAGATTTTAAAATCCTTCTGCTGGTCTATTAGTCACTGAATAAACATAGCAGACTTGCTTTCAATTGATCAACAGCCAGACCTCTCAGATCTACTGGATTAAATCTACCCTGCAGAACCAGAACCTAACATGGAGAAGCAGCGTTTAGTTCTTACTGTCCATTAATCTGGAATAAACTCCTAGAAAACTGAGAGAGACAAAACCTTCAGTTGCTTTAAATCTAGATTAAAACGTATGTATTCAGAGTGGCTTTTGACTGAGGTATCTAAACATTATTAGTTATGTTTCCAGATTTGTTCCAATTTTTTAAATCAAGTTATCTTTAATTGTTTTTATCAATGGTTTTTATATCATCCTCTTATTTTAATGTGTCACTTTTATTCTCTTTATTTGTTTTTCCTCTATGAAACTGCAGTGTATGTACCCTAACCCAACCAGGCTGCTGGTTTCTGGTCTTTGTGTGAGAGTAACTAAAGTCTGTTAAATGTGGACATTAGAAACAGAGTGTTGGTGTTACCCAGAAAAAAGAAAGCATAACATGGTTTCAGCTTTAAGAACCTCTTTTCACCTTTTATGGTAGATTCATACCTAAAGATAGACAATTACTATTAATAACGCAGAAAAGAAATATATATAATGATAAGATGGTAAGATGCTGAAAGTAAAGAGGGAATTTTATTAAATCAGGTCATCCAGTTTGATTAAAGGTTCAATGTTGAAGGAAAAAACAGCTGATTGCATCTATTGTAGATCTGTTCCAGTTCTACAGTTTTAGATTAGAAGCAGCATAAAATATTGTAAACAATAGATTATACAGTAAAGGCAAAATATGACGGGTGTGTCTGCGCTGCAGTGTAATGAAAGTAGCGGAGTAGCTTTTGATTACTTCAATTTTAATTAGAAGGAGTCAAAAGCTGGATCCTTGAGGAACCTCACATTTGATTTTGTTTTCTTGGATTTATAAAAACAAAGGTCCAGAAATGGGTTCCTGTCAGGTGAGATCTGAATCCATTCACCTTTCATCCTGTACTAAACCCATCTTCAATCTAACATTTTCCAATCCTTTCAACATTAAGTTGAATCCAAGTGAAATACAAATCATTGCATGTTTAAATTCAACATTCTGGAGTTTATAAAATGCACAGAAAACTGGAATTCTTTCTATTGAAACGTCCCAATAGCATCTGAGTCAGATGCAACAGTGACACAAACGAGCTTAAATCAGCAGAGAGAGCAGGAGAGAAGGAAATAACGGCATGAAGACAGTAAAGGGCTAAAATGAACTAAATCTTGCCTCAAAAAACGATCTTTAACAGCAGTTTTGATCTAAGTTCGATCTTCATGGTTAGAAAACATCTCTGCTTTCTAAAAGCAACCCGTCATCGCTCTGGGAATGCTAAAGACCATGAGGGGTCAGCACTGGTCTGCTGTTGGAGAAACCAGCAAACAGCCAGTCTGCTCTGCTTCACTCAACACTTTCCTCTTAGGGTTTACAAACATCTCAAGAAGTAAAACAATATTTTAAACGAGGTTTCCAGAGTTTTGGGCCTGTTCACTCAGATTCCCAGCATGCATCCAAAGCTATGATATGAGGAATAATATTTAATACTGAGAGAAAACTGTAATTATTACGTTTACTATTAAAATAATCACACATTGAAACCTTTTCTAACATCCCTGACAGAACGATGTTAAAATAACGTGAAACTCATTGACCACATGCGAATCACACCTTAAAGCACATGTATATGAATGAATTTGGTACATTCAGCGTTAAAAGCACATGTGACAAAGATGGGTCTCAAATGGGAGTCATGGGAAAATTGGGAATGACATTTGAACTTTTTGGCACAAACTAAACTCGTGTTTGGAGGAAGAAGAACGCTTAGCTGCATCCCAAGAACATCATAGCTACAGTGAAGCACAGGGGTGGAAGCATCATGCTTTGGTGCTGAATGACAGATCTGTGTTAAGGGGAGAATGAAACGGACCAAAGATGGTGAGATTTTAATCCCAAATCTCGCTCCATCAGTGAGAACTTAGAAGATGGAGCGAGGCTGAGACATCAGGACAATGATACCAAACACACCGAGAAGTGGCTCCATAAAAGGATTTCAGCATCCTGGAGTGATATGCCCAGTATGCAGACCTTACACCCATAGAAAAACTAGTGGAGGGAGTTGAAAGTCTTCGTTGCCTAGCAACGGCTCAAAAACATTACTGTTATAGAGGAGATCTGATGGAGGAATGGACCAAAATAGCAGCTACAATGCGAGCAAACCAGATGAATATAGGAGATGTTCGACCTCTATCACTGCTAGCAAAGCTTCGAAGCATTGAATCAGATTTTTCTTATTGCCAAATACTTATTTTCCACCAAAAAGTGATATTTTTTATAGTTTTTTACACTATGGGATCATCACATCTGATTTAATGTTTAAACTGATTCAGAAAGTACTGGACAAATTGGTAGTATTTATAAGTATACAATGAATAAACTAAAACTAAAAAACATTTCACATTAATGAAAGAAAAAAATAACAAATTTGGGCAGAAAGATAACTTTTAAATCAGAAATATTAAACAGAAACGTATAAAACACATATTACCAGGAAGTTAACGCAGATGAAGTATGTCAGGAAAGGTTAAATGACTTTATCAAGCTACAATAATTTCTATTTGTTGTATTTTCACCTGATCTAGTCAAAGTTACTCAGTGACAGGGAGTTTTACTAAGAGAGAGAAGTGATACTCTCACAAGAATAAATGTAAAAGTAAAAGGTACAGTAAAAGGTGCTGAATGTAATTTTTTTCTAAAAGTTACGTCAAGTAAAGTCAAGTAAATTGAAGCTAACTGGTCACGACCCACCATGTCCTTGTTCTTGTCCATTTTATTGAGTTATGTCTGTCTGCATCCTGATTGTTTATCTTACTTTTTTGTAAAATTCAAAACACGTCATCTAAAGGTACTTCACAGTTCACCAGATCATCCAGTCAAATTTATTCAAAGTTTTCTGTCTAAGTAAAACCAGTTGATTGCATCGATTCATTGACTCTTCAGCAATCCCTCACAATAAGCATGCTTGTAGCGACAGTGGAGAGGAAAAACTCCCTTTTAACAGCAGAACCAGGCTCAGTTAGAGCGGCCATCTGCCGAAGCCGACTGGGGTTCAAGGAGACGGAA